AATCAATCAATCAATCAATCAATCAATCAATCAATCAATCAATCAAACCTTTTTTTTTTTTCATTTCTTTTAAAATTTTGCATCGACATTTTTTTTAAACACCTCATTTCCCTGCAAAAAACAAAAATCCAATTCTAAAAAAAATACAGGTGTACGCAGGGACCATATATCTCATGATAAAAAATAGCAAAAAAACATTCCTGTTTTTCTTTATATTTTTGTTTTTTAATTTTGTTTAAATCGATTTTAGTTTTTGATTTGTTAAAAATCTTAAACAAAGTCGGATTCCAAAAAGAAAAATATAGGAGTGTAGGGTTTTTCAAGCCCTACACCTTCATATTTTATTTTATTTTTGTACGTATTTTTAGGGGGAGAAAAAAAATATTGAAAAACTGGGCCGTGGACTGGGCCTCATTGGCCACGGCCGCGGGTGTCACATAGCCAACAGGGATATGCCCCGGGACAAGAATAAGGCAACTGAGAAAGCGGAAAAGAGCAAGGGCCCTCAAGTGAGGAAGGAGGGTAAAAAAACAGCAGGGGACAAAACTCAGCCTGTAAAAGAGAGGGTTCAGGACAGAAACACCAAGAAAAACAAGCCGCCACACCCAACTACCTCCCGCGATCAGAGGGATGGAAGGGCGATAGTGGTTTGGAAAAGGAAGGACCCTAATGCCTTGGAAAGGAGGAAAGGTCACCATATCCCTCTAGGGGAAGAAAAGAGAGGGCAGCCCTCAGAAAGGATAGACAACAAAGCGGAGCAGGGCAAGAAGGCAGAGAAGAATAAAGGGAGGAGGGCTTCCCTTGGAAAACTCCATTGGAAAACGGGGACATGGATGTAGTGATGACGAGTGATGAAGAAGAAGAAGACGAGAAAGAAAAGGGGGCAAAGGAGGGGGAGAAGAAGGATGAAGAGCTGCAGGAAATAAAAGAATCTGAGGAGGAGGAAGGAGAGAGTGAGGAGGAGGAGGAGAAGAGTGAGGAAGAGGAGACAGACAAAGATGAAGAGGACGAAGAGGGGGAGGATGGAGGAAAAGGTGAAGAGGAGGAAGACGAACAAGAGGAGGAAGAGGATGAAGAGGACGAAGAATAAAAGAAAGCAGATGAGGAAAGTGAGGAGAAGGACAACAGGGAAGAAAACGGGGAGGAAGAAACAGATAAAGATAGGTGTTTTGAGGATAAAGAAGAAGAAACGAGGGAGGAGGGGGAAAATGAGAAAGTGGATGAAGGGGAAGATGGGAGAGGCGAAGAGGAAAGAGAGAAGGACGAGGAAGAGAAAGCATGAGATGGAAGGAAAGAGACGACTAAGGAGGAGGAACCCAGAATGGATAACGGAGAAGAACATACATTTCGTTAAAAATTACATTTTTTTCTAAATTCACGAAAGTGGACTTAGTCAAAATTTCATTGCTCATCGGGGGAGAAAGTGGTTATCTCACTTTGTCCATCTGATGTCCCTCAACGTAAAGTACCGTTAACATACATCCGATGGTCAGATCATCGGGAGTCGCCACGACACCCGATGATCTGATCATCGGACGTCATGGGAACAAACAACACTAAAAAATGTTGCTTTTTGGTACGCTCAATTTCGTGAATTAAAAAAAAAATGTCAGTTTTAACGAAATGTTAGTCGAAGAAGGAAGAGAGGAAGATGCAGGACCACCACGGAAAATCCAAGAGGTCGACCCAGGGGAAAACAACGGCACAAAGGACCCTAGGGGGACCTCTGATAAGGAGCATACACCGCAGAAACCCTGCCCCAGGCGAGTGAAACCTCAGCCCCTGACAAATTCCACGATCCATAATAATAAATCCTTCAACCAGGATGATATAGACCACTTAGACGGGCTTGGGCCGGAAAGGATTGGTGAGGGAAGTTCATGGAAACTAACGAATATTTTTCCGTTTCAGAAAGTGGGAAAACATCAGCTATTTAGCGAATCAGGACTGGCACAGGCAAATGGTTTCTCACCAACTGAAAAAACAAAACGGAATGACACTAGCGGAAGGATTGTCAGGGGATGAGACATTGAACCTTCATATAGACCAACGAATTGAGATGGACAAAGAAGGGAGAAAAAGGTCGAGGTCATTAAGCCAATCCAAAAAAGGTCAAAGAGTCAATCAAACAATTGGTGGTACCGCTAATCATCTCGGAGTCTGCGGTTGGCCCGATGCTGCAAACAAGAATTACGAGGGATGATGGACTGGAAATTTCATCAATCCCCGTAACCGCCCCCCTCTCAGATGAGGAGGTAGTGGATCTAAGCAAGCGAGAAGTGTTGAACCATACGGGATCAGTGACAATGCTCCCATCTTTTAAAATAAACAATTATTTATCACAAAAACACGAGCTCCCCCCGATGGTTTTCCATATGGCCTTGATAGGTATTCACACCATTTGTGACTCATTTGATAAATGGTGTGACCTTAGGGTCCATTAGATCCCACTCCGGGCCTTCCTTGCAGGAAATACCGAATCCATAGGAAAATTACACATGCCAGCGGGGAGAACCAGGTCAATGGTCTTGGAGTGGATGCGATATACGAATGTGATATAAAAACTATCAGGAGTATATCTAGTCGAGAGACTTCCGGGAAAGGAGGCACAGGATACAAGGAAATCCCTATCACACTCCAAGGACCAAAGCCGGATCCAAGCCACTGGCAGGATTTCTACGGATGGTACTTTTGCCTAAACTACGAATGACATCATGGAATGTTCACAGTTTAGGTGACACATCACACAGATACAAACGATCAAGGCTTCGCTCTTGGATGCATTCAAACAATGTTCATATTCTTGGTATCCAGGAATCGAAGTTAAATACCTGTAAACTTCAGAAATTGACGACTTACTAGGATGGCCCCCAAATCTCGTCCCCGACAGATGGGACCAAAGGAGGGGTTGCAATATTAATTAATAAGGATCTAGATGCAGAAGTTTTGGACTCATATGCAGATTCAAGTGGGAGAATCGCATGCATCAAAATTCTGATAGGAGAGAAGGAATGGGGCATTTGTTCAATTTATGCCCCGACAAAACTAATAGACTGTTACGGTATATAATTTTTAGCCAACCTCTCAACCTTCCTACCTGACACCGACAATCTAGTGATATTAGGGGATCTTAATACGATACTAAACCCAGGTCTTGACTCACTGTCAGTTTTCCCCCCTAGGCAGGATGCAAGAATATTAACTACCCTGCTGGATGCCTACTCATTAATAAATGTATTTCGCACTTTAAACCCGAGCTTAAATGAGTTCACTTGGTTCGGGGTCAAACCAGCAGATAACACACCAGCTCCAAGAAGCAGATTGGACTTCATTCTGGCACCAAGTTCTCCCTGGAACACCTGCTTCTGGTGCGATGTGCTCCTAGACTCAAAATCAATCTTGAATCACCACCCGGTTCTGATGGACATAGTCTCAGCGGAAGTGATACAAAGAGAGAAACCGACATTCGAACTTCATGTAAACATGTTAAAGGATGAAGGAATCAAGCGATGGGTGACCGACCAAATGACATTGTGGAATACCATGAAGGACCTATTCGAGGATCTATTAGAATGGACTGAAGTAGGAATCATTATAATAAGAGTAGCTCTAATAAAATTTTCACGGATAAAATCGGTTAACCGAACGTGGCATGAAGTTAAACTCCAAAAGGAAATCGCGCAAGCAGAAAGGCTGGTGGGGACTGATCCTTTTCTGCACTACTATTGGACAGAAAGGAGGAAAGTAGCATTGATAGAGTTGAAAAAGTCGGAAGTAAAAAAGCAAGCGGAATGGTTAGACTAGCTGAAGATTCGTGGAATCATAGGTTATGACCGAATGACTAAGTTTTCATTTAGATCATAAATCTTGAGACAAGTCAAACCGTTGATAAGGGAGTTGCACCACCCGTTCTCAATCGACCAGGCCCCGACCTCGAACATGGACACAATGTGTGCAAACGCCTATGAGTATTTCAAAGATATTGTCTCCATTAGAAGACCGTTCGACACCCTAGACACAGATCTATCAGACATTAGCAGCTTCTGGGATAGGACTTCATCACAGATCTCGCGTTCTGCGTCAAGGGCCCTAGACGGCCCATTCACAATCGAGCAAGTGGGAAGAGCGGTAAAGCAGATGACATTAGGAAAATGCCCAGCTCTCGATGGATTACAAGTAAAGTTGTACCTAGCCTGTTGGCCAGCCTTCGTGGCTTTCCTTCGTGACATATACAACAACGTCAGGTCAACAGGCAGACTACCCGGGAGTTTACTTAAGGGTATTATATCGCTCCTATATATGAAAGGGAATAAGGCCGAGGTAAAAACTACCGACCAATATCAGTTTCAAATGTAGCATATAAAATATTGGCTAAGTCATATGCAATCAGACTCGCAAACATGCTTCCTCTCCTGGTCTATGTAACCGCTTGAACGCGTTTGACGCGCGTTCACGTTCAAACACGTTCAATACCGCCACGTGGCACACGGTGGGAGAAAATTGAACACGCGCCCCCCACCGGGTTGCACGTGTCAGAAGCCACAGGAGGAGCATGCAGTTCAGGGGAAAAAAAAAAAAAAAAAAAAAAAAAAAACCGTTTGTGTGTGTGTGTATGTGGATTGATTAATGGATTGATTCATTGATTGATTGATTGATTGATTAGTGATTGATTGATTATTGGTTGATTGATTGATTGACTGATTGATTGATTGAGTGCGCTGCATACACTTCTCTCTCTCTCTCTCTCTCTCTCTCTCTCTCTCTCTCTCTCTCTCTCTCTCTCTCTCTCTCTCAAAATGAGAAACCACATCCGAAGGAGGGAGTTGTGCGATGGAAACAAGGTGCGCACAATTGGGAAGCTGCACGGGCAGCGAAGCTCGCACCTACATCGGGAGAGTTGCTGCGCCCTGATGGAGAAAAGATGCGCACGAGTTAGGGGGCGGTGATCTAAACACAAGAGAGAGAGAGAGAGAGAGAGAGAGAGAAAAAAAAAAAAAGATCCAAATAATCATAGCCAGTTGCGCAGATGCGCACGAACGGGAGGAGCTGCGCTAACCTCTCTTACTTGCGTGCGGGAAAACGGGCTGCGTGGCGGGAAGAAGTTGTTGCGCTATGAGCAAGCGAGCAAGCAAGCAAGCAAACGACTGCGTGCGCGCGCGCGCACGAGAGAGAGAGAGAGAGAGAGAGAGAGAGAGAGAGAGAGAGAGAGAGAGAGAGAGAGAGAGAGAGAGAGAGAGANAGAGAGAGAGAGAGAGAGAGAGAGAGAGAGAGAGAGAGAGAGAGAGAGAGAGAGAGAGAGAGAGAGAGAGAGAGAGGGTGATCCAACTAACCATGCACTCTACCACTGAGAACTATGAAACTGTGCATATAGCCGAGTGTATCCCCATGGTTGTGAAACCGATACTCGTCACCCAACACACACACACACACACGCGCGCGCCAAAAACACCCTGCACAAACGCGTCAAACGTGTTTACCCGCGTTCAGTGAACGCGCGTTCACCGCCTTCAAAAATTGAAAGTGAAACATGCATTCAATGAACGCGCGGCAAGACAGCCCCTGGTTGGGCAAGAACATGGGGCCTTTGTAAAGGGATGGTCAATATTTGAAAATATAATGACCATCTTACAGGCCCTTGAAATAATATCTAAAGAGAGGAGGGAAGTGACAATCCTGCTCCTAGATATGGAGAAGGCGTATCATAAGGTGGGGTGGACTTTTGTGTAGGACTTGAGAGTAGATAAAAAGCCAAAGAGTAATTTATGACTATGTTTTTGATAGTAGGACTTGAGAGTAGATAAACATGATTAAAAAATAAAAAATATATATACTAATTAGAGATTTTCACCTGGAGTTTTAGGCATATAAAAATACCTTTTATGTTAGTTAGACAAGAAATTCAGATTTTGAAGATAAGAAAGATCAGGAATGTTTGCGACTTTAGTTAGGATTATTAGTTATAGAAAAGTAGTTAGGTTCGTAAATGGGATGGTACTGAGATTGTGAAATTAATGGTCAGATTGATGATTAGAATATTATTAAGATGTTATTTAGTTGATGATAAGATTGATTGGAAAAATCATGAAAATACAAGTAGAGGAGAAGAAAATATAGAAGCGTGAGACATACTTCCCCCCATCCTTGTTAAACGCTACTCCCTCCCCCTTCCCCCA